AGCCGGTGCTAAAATTAACATTGGCCTACTGCTTGTACTAATAAAGTGCCAAGGGCCTAAGTAGTCACCTTAATATTAAAAAAAAAAAAAAATTATTTCAAAATATTTTGCTCTTATAGTTTATAGTAATTTATCTCTATCTGTTTTATTTTTGAATATTGATATTTAAAACTTTAGCTCTTTAATTTTAATTATTATTATTTTTTTTTTTTAACTTTCAGCAGTCATGCCTCCACTTTATTAGGCTATAATAAACAAACTACACAAGTTTATTGATCTTATTGAACACATTGTGCCCAACTACCTAAATTACAAGTGTTAGCTAACCTGGTTATATCAAATATGTACCTATATTCGACCTGCTATAGTAGAGTTTATCTTATTATTTATTCCTCCTGCTATTAAAGTAAATAAATAAATCTACGAATGGTTCTACGGCCTGTCATGACTGCTAATTTCTCTAAATTTCTCCTCTTTTAAATATCGGAGCAAGAGGATTCCATAATCTTTGCCTAAAGAACGACAAGTAACTAAAAAAAAACTAAACAAAAAGAAAAGGATAGTAAAAAAAAAGGTGAAGTACTACAAAAACCTAAATGAAAACCAAATACAAAAAACAAAAGAAAAAAAAAGATATAAAAAAGAAAAGGGCAAAGAAAAAAAACATAAACATAACAACACTAATTGCGCTAGTGCGGAGCTTAAAAAATTATTTAATACTCTGTAAAACAATCTCCATCTTCACTTTACTTTAGTATTAAAATAGTTTATATTATGTGGGGAATACAAAATTTTTCTTGTTTACCTTACAGACCAATCATGTGTTATTCATTGTTGTTCAGGCGTGTAGTAGCGTAACTTTTTCGTGATTTAGCCATTCCCAATTTGGCCATGTAAACAATGTCAATCCTTTGTAGGAGGTACGCCAAATTTCTTACATTTTGGAAAAAATTTTGAGAGAAACACCAAAAAACCCGGCAGAAATATAGAAGGTGATTTGTGAAGTCAGGTACTTTCAAAATTTCAAAGGAGTGTGTTGAAGTCCATGAATATTTGTTGTTTCCCCTGTGTTTTTTTAACAGCCTAAGAGCTTCATTGACGAAAAAGACTTTGTCTTTTCATCAAGATTTTTTATACAAGAGCACTGCCTGCCAGTTATCTTGTATAATAACGCTCCTAGTTTGCATGCCAAATGTCTTTTAGAGGAGTCCTGCAAAAAGAAAACATTAACTTCTAGACAAACCGCTATATAGACCATGACTCTCTAACAAAAATTGTGTTTTTCTTTAGTAAGAAATTTTGGTACGAGTGATCATCAGGAAGAGTTGATGTATGGAAGCTAATTATCATTGTTAATTTTAATTATTTTAAATTATATCAAATGTTTTAATATAATTCAAATTATTTCAAATTATTTTGCTTTTATAGTTCATAGTAATTTATCTCAATCTGTTTCATTCTTGAATATTGTTATTTAAATATTTTAGCTCTTTAATTTTAATTATTTTTACTTATTGCAATTTATTTTAATATAATTCAAATTATTTTGAATTATTTTGCTCTTATAGTTCATAGTAATTTATCTTAATCTGTTTTATTCTTAAATATTGTCGTTTAAATATTTTAGCTCTTTAATTTTAATTATTTTTACTTATTGCAATCTATTTTAATATAATTCGAATTATTTCGAATTATTTTGCTCTTATAGTTCACATTAATTTATTTCAATCTGTTTTGAATTAGTGCGAATTATTTTACATAATATTGCGTAATTTCTTGCATAATATTGTATAATAATCTTACATAATATTTCATAATTTTATATTTTGCAATATTGCAAAAGTTATTACATAATATTATAGTGTTCTTACACTTCATAAATTATTGTACAATATTATGCTCTACTAAATTTGCTGATGTAGTCTTTTATAGTAGTTTAAAACATAATATTATATATAACTTCTAAATTTAAAATATATCAAGAAAAAAATTATAGCTATTTATTAACAAGTATTCAACCTTTTAATTTAAACATTGTCTTAAATACACCAACTATTAATACATTTCTATATCTATAGATTTTTTTTATTATGTATCTAAATCAATTGATTAGATAATAATTGTGATAATGCTCAAGTATATAGTTGATGATGATATTTATAAAATTAAATGCTTGAGTATACTTTTCTGTTTTTTTATAATATTTTGCAATAATATCTAAAAAACCCAATTAAAAAAATTAATTTTAATTAACTATTAAAGTTTCTACATTAATTACATTGGCTTCTTCTTTAATGATTTTAACAAATTAAATTTCTTAATTATCTATTAATTATGAAAAAACATCTACCCAAATCTTTCAGTTTTAGATTTTCTTTACTAAAAAAATTTCAAATTTAAATATATAAAAAATAAAATAATAGTATTCATTATGGTTTAGTTAAATATCAAAAGATTGTTGTATTTATTATACTCATATTAATATAATGATTATTTGTTTTAAAAACTTCAAACATTAAATAATAAAGTGATTATCTTTTTAGACCAGTTAAAATTTGTTAAGAATTAATTATTTATTATATTTGATACATAAAAATATAAAAGTAATGCTTAAGTAACCTTTATTAATAATTTTTTTTAAAAAAAAATAACTTGTGTCTTGCTAATTTGTTTATCAAACTAGTAACTTGCTTGGTAAATTGTTTAATTTTTAACTAATTAAAAATTTACTTTTGATTTATTTATTGAGTAAAGTGCTTGAGAACACCCTTAGCTAACAATACAATAAAGTTAAAAACAACTAAATATATTGCATAAACAATTTTTAATTTTTACTATTATAAATTTTTTTATTTATAATAAATAGGATATAGGCATATAGAGCATGCCTTAACTCAAGGCATGCCTAATTTTTTAACCATGCCCCAAACCCTAACTTTGATTCTTTTAATGCTTTTTGTAGTTAACTAAATCAAATATCTTTAAATAAAACCAGAGCAAGTTAGCAACATTTAATATTAAATATGAGGGACCAACATGTGGTTAGTCCAACGTGAGGTCAATTAATCACTGGCGGACTTTAAATACTAATTGGCCTCACTTTGGAACCAACCTCATGTTGGTCCCTCACATTAAATACTATTAATATGCTTAAATAAAATCTATTATTTTAATAATTTATACTAATATTATAACACTTGTGTTAAAAAAACAATATATCTAAATATATAAAAAACCACATGCTTTTTTATTAATAAAATTCAAAAGTTTGTTTTTTGCCAAATTAATATCTGGGGATAAACATTAACTAGAAATCCTCATCTTACCAAATAATAGCACGTAGTGCTTAACCTCATAGTTTACTTTTACAAGTCTTTAAAGAACAGAAAACCACCTGCTTCATTTGTCTATGGTCGAAAAATTTGGAGAAGACCGACAGGACCAAGGGAGACTTAAAGGAAGGACTACTAGCACCCAAAGAAAGTAGGTTTGCACTTTTAAAAGCCCGAAATATTTCGCCAGCTTAAAGCAATTTCACCCGTGCAAAATATTGCGGAATCGTCCGAAACACTATTAAAAACATAACGCCAAACTGGAAGCAAAAGAAATGAGTCTAGAACAGAAGATCTGCCTGTTTATTTATCTAGCAGATTATATAGATTATATCTTATTACAAAATTTAGATGCTTGTTAACTTAATTATGATCTGTGTCGCATTGTGCATTGCTTGAACATTCACTAGATTGCAGCCAATGATAATCAGCAGAATTCACATTATCTTGGTCACTTTGCTCATCCTTGTTACTTTCAATCAACACATCTGTTTCTATATGATTATATGTATAGACTCCATTTCGTTCACTTTGCTCTTCTTCTATATCTACATTGTGAACATCCTGATATAATTCTTCACTATTTTTAGGTGCATACTCAGCCTTCATCTTTTCCTTCTTCCTCACACGACCTTTGTTGTCTCTCTCCAAACTTAAACTTTCGACAAAATCAATTACTGGCAATCTTGCTACCTGACTGCTGATACTAGCAATACTGGGAAATCGTTCGATATCAATCCTTGAACCAATATTAAGTATTGGAACTGTGATTCCATGTACGATTACCGAGCTGAGAACAATGAATGTCACAATTGGGAATGTCATTTCTTGAATACGTAACATGGATCCTTCATCAATATCGTTTAATCCTTCATTTAGTCTTATACTAATTTCTTTTTCAACAGTCATAGCTAAGAATATTGCACCAATTCCTATTGGTCCAAAATAACCCGCGAATGCTGCTTCTTTGAAAGTGTGAAAAGCCGGAATGAATCCTTTAAATAAGATTACAATCGGTAAACGCCTAAAAACCAGAATAAGGACGCTTATGGCAATAAGGCTTTTGAGTGATATATCATCCGAATTAAAAGAAGACCATGGAAGTATCATTCCGATGTACATAAATATGGTTAAGTTAAGTAGTAAATCAATGACATCTTGTAAATGTGCATCTTGCGTTTCCTCACGAAACCAATCGCTGTGGATAATTCAAATGTTATCAACTTGAGGCTCAGACTTTATGAAAAGACAACATATTAGATAGATATAGAGGAAGACAAATATGACTGCATACTCCCAAGAAAACGAAGTTCCCGCCATAAAGCATGCCAATAACGCATCCGATCCGACAATGCTTACACCACCAACGACAAAAATCTTTGTAAAAGATTAAATTTTGTCGTTTAATATTAAGAACAAAAAAATGGCATCAAAAAAAAAATGAAGTTACCGCTAGAGCAAATGCGAATACTAGAAAAGACTCTTTATCAATCCAATCTCTTAATAACAGATGATTAATATATTTCTATTTCCTTGAGTGATAAAATTTAAGTAATAATAGTGGATTGAATATAGTTACCGACTCTCAGCCATTCCCAATAACTTCCTTGCCGCCCATCCTATCACGATACCGATGACAATCGAAAGTAAGATGTGATATCCCCAAACGAATGAGATCCATTGACAAACAGCAGTAGCAGTAATTTTGGATTCAAGTAAGAAAAGTGCAAAAAAGAGAAAAGGAAAACCCATCCCTAAAGGATAGAAAATGCGAACTGAATACAATAAGCGGAAACCACAAAAATATTTTCCAGTTCTTACCATCGTTTACCCCACTTTCGGCAGATAAAAGGTGTCTTACATTGGGTGGAATATGCTTTTCAGCAAAAGAGCCTTGAACAACGGAGTTTGCGAGGATCTGTACTAATTGAAGGTTAACTTATTTTATCGAATTACTGTGAAAAAATTTCCCAGAGATCCTCACCGGATCGGTTGGAGTAATGCATGAGGCGATTAACAAAGTTTCAACCTATGGAAATGAAAAGATGAAATTATGATATAATCTACATCAATAGTTTCAATAAACTTTTCAAGACTTACAAATGTAACATCTGGTATGAAAAAATATATTATCGCTGCACTAGAGATCCACATCCAAGACATGACTGGCAGGAGCATAATGAACATAGAACGGAATTGACGCGTGATATATGCTCTGTATAGGTTATATAATTGTGTCAAATTCGATTACTTGCAGAGAATAAAATTGACATCTTTTACCTCGGTAAATTTATGGCAGCCGTCATGATCTATATTATATTCGTCAGATAAGAAAATTTTAGCATGATAAAAATTCCATAGGTGTTAAATTTTGAACTTGAGTTACCTGAATTGCAAGTACGATGCGTGTTAATTCCTCCGTTATCGCGCTTTTGTACCCCCATTCCTTGTTTGTGTTTTGTTAGTTAAATTAAACATAACATTATAAACAAGCAATCAAAGAGATAAAACATTATCTAATGTTTGTACCGTAGGGTCGATCAAACGCAAACAAGCCGGTCCTAGTATTAAGCCCATTATTGTTGCAACCACTTCAAATTATCAGAAATTAAAGCAAAGGATTGTATATCATACGCGTTATAAAAAAAAAATAAATTACAAAAAACAGAAAGGAATATATGCATACAAGATTCGCTTATATATAGACGCTCTTTTATAACTAATGATACCAAACCATAAAAAACAATCAAACCTCCCAACAAAGTATACACAATTAAGGGCTCGCTAAAATCAAAGAGCTGCATCTTTACAGAAATATCGCGAGTTGATCCTTCAATAAACACAATTTTTTGCTCTTCAGAATAGGTAATAAGTCAATCTAGTTATAAATAAGCACACGTTGCAATAGAACACACTTTTTTCAAAGAACTGGTATATAAACGTAAAAAGAATTGCCTTTGATTTATCCGCAGTAGCAGCTTGAAGCTAAAAGAATAAGCAGCAAGTACGTAGTCAAATATAAATACTGCTATGTACTGCCACTTAGGCGACAACTTAACCCCGACCTCTAAGTATCATTTTTCGCTAATCGCAAGGAATATACGTACGTACATACGTACGTACGTCACGTAATAATTACTGTACAATGATGACTATTAATTACTATTTTGGGATTTTTACATGTGTGATTTACCGCCATAGCGATGTTTCGCGCACCTAGGACCCACCACCAAAATCAGTTACGTAAACGGAGCTTAAATTATTGCCGACATTAATTAATACAATAATGACGACACTTGATTGATAATATATGTAAGAATAATATTATTTCTTTGAATATTGTAATATTTTCCAAAATGGAGATATTGCATTTCAAAACAATAATAAATCATGTTTTGTGTACAAACCGTGTAAACGAAAGCGTGAAGATGAAATTTTAAATGATATTCGCAACAAAAAAGAAAATGGCATAAAATATGAAGAGCTTGAATATGTAGTTTACGAAAAACTTATGGATGTTGAAGGAGAAAGAAATATGTATATGGATCTTGAGATAGTTGTAGATATTTCTCAAACATTTAACGAATCAGACATGGATGAAGTTTTTGCACGTTCATTAGAAAAGATCTGTGAAAAAGAGATGGTTATTCATGTTTATCATAAAAAATATCAGAATAAACAAAGTAAAACTATTTCGTTTATTTATTGGTGTAATTGTTGCTGTGAGCTAAGGATTGGAACCAGTGTTGGCCCCTGGACTGGACCGGTCCAATGGACCACTACTGGACTGGACTGGTCCAGTCCAGTTCCAGTACTTACTGGAACTGG